GAATTCTTTCAAAACTAAACTTTCAGCAATTATGGACTCATTTTCCAGTTAGGTGGGTGAAAATCCATCCCACCAACAAACCAAGGTTGACGGCACAAATTAAGGTTACTTCCTTCCTTCGCGGGCGTCCTTCGGGAAAAAATTCGTACGCGCGCTAGTTTGAAGAAAACCCCAACAAACTATACATCAAAACAAAGCTTAATAAATTCAGTTTACGATAAAAATATAATTTAGGCGATTTTTTCATTTAGGAAGTGTCAGGAGCCGGTAAGGCGTGAAACGACCGAGGGTCCTTCTATTGAACTTATCAGGTATCGGTTCCCGCGGCACGAGGAAAATGGCCGCACAGTCTCATTGACAAGGCATCAATCAAGAAAAGTGTGTCACGCTTTTCCGATATTCTGATTGGTTTTCTAGATATTCGCATCTAAAGTTACAGTAGCGAAAAATATGCGCAGCCTGTTGCGTAGATGGACACCACGTAAAAAATATTTCAAATATCAAAATTTCCTGACACACTTTTGTTCGTTATCATCTCAGGAATGTGTTAGCGAAATTTCACGAGAATCTGTCAAATCTACATACCCTATAAATTCTCTCAAAGTGGATGTATTCCTCTCAAAATCAAACGCGAGATTTTAGCTCCTGAAGGTTTGTAAACAACTAGCGCCACACAAGGAGGTTATCTCGCCTCCTGAAACCACAAACCAATAGAGAAGACGAGACCTCCTAGCCTTAATGACAATGAATCAAGATTTTCCCGGGAAAAGTATCGCGTAGCAGTCACGTTTTTTTATGTCGCTTAGTTGACCGTTTAGTAATAGACAAAGTCGGCGAAGGAAAAACCCGCGGCAGAAAGGGTAAATCTGTCGCATTCTTCTTTTTCTCTATCGGTTTCGTCAGATTCCGACGAAGAATCTTGTTTACAACCTTCTGTGGTGTTGACTTTAATTTTTAAGCTGATTGCCTCAAGGGTAATCGAATGCTGCCGATCTTCAGCGGATGCCGAGCTTGTCACTTTCAGCAAGGACCGTTTTTTTTTTTTGACAAAATGATGCCATTTCTCTTTTCTTTGGGCCTGTTTTTTTTTTTTCTTTTTCTTTATCCAAGGACTCCTCTCTAATTTTGAGTTATGTTTTTTATCCATGAGAAAAGACTTCCAGGAGTGAATTTTGTCATGTGCGCGATGTAAACAAAATATGCAAATGACAGAAAATTGCCGCGAATATTCCCCTGGGAGGTTCGCCATTTACAAGATTATGACACCTTCCTGATTTATTAACTTTTACGCATGATGCACGATCCTTCGCAGTAGACAGCGCTATTTATGCAATAGCGAAAATCAGACCTGAAAAAAAATCAGGCCTATACGATTTCGAACCACTGACCTCTGCGATACTAGTGCAGCGCTCTACCAATTGAGCTAACAAGCCAACTGGGAGCAGGCCGTTAAGTTGATTCGTAATAAACCCGTGATGATAAATCAGATACAATGAATATATGAAGTCCATATATTTTGAACTGCGGTATTAAATACGTATGATGCACGATCCTTCGCAGTAGATAGCGCTATTTA